ACACGAAATAGGGTGAATACATCTCATTACACTGAGTTACTGGTAGTCTCGAAACCCTACTTTAATACGTATATATTCTGTATCTGGTCTCTTCGATCACGTGTCAAGTGATTTGGTTAGCTACGGCCATATGTCAACTTCGATGCATGTGAGTGTGTCTGTATCTGTATTTGTATGTGCCTGATTGTGTTCGCTTATGCACGCTTTGGTGATGTTTGTCATATGACGGACAAAAGCTTAGCACCTTTTCGTCGGAATCGAAGGAGATTGCCTCGGAAACAGCGTCAGAATGAATGTTGCAGTAAAGCCAATCGACAGTTGGTCAAGAGGAATCCGTTGCTGGTCGTCTTCTGATGGAACCGAGCTTCGAATCTCTTCACCGCACACTCCCACTCGAAATGGAAGTAAGCTCAACAATGATGAAACAAGAGATTCCTCGAAACCCAACTTTTCTTCGTTTATATTTGAATAAACTGACTGACGTCATTGCCTACGCTTCAAATCTGTGCGGAAAAGCCTTTGAAAGATCGGTTTCCAACATCCCATTAATGGATGCTATGGTACCTTCCAGTCGTTATGACATGACTATGTAATGCGGCCCCTGATAAGGTCTCGGTTCATCGTCATTTGACCCCGCTAAACCGGTTACGGTGAATCGAAGACGTCTTTGCACAATACACCAGTCTTCCCTGGGCGGCAATTCTCCTTCGGTCTCCGGTGAGACGAGATCGCCAATTCCTTCCAACCAACTTTCCTTTGAAATTTTAAACCCGGTTTTTATTCATACTTTACAGTCTATTTGGAAGGGTGGCTGTAAAAAAACGTGGATTTGTCATGACGCTTTAATCATACTACTTTATATACCAAATAAGTAGGCTGTCTAAGATGCATGAAAATGCTGAAAAAGAATCAGCTTGTGCCTGGCTTACACCGAAGGCCACATCTGCCCCGTGACCCAATCGAGGCCGAGTCGCGATTCACTTTCGAAAGCCACAAGTCGAAATTGCCCTCCAGCCCAAATAAGAACATTTTCTCCGAGGTCGTTTCGACCCTGTCTGGGCCTCATCAGCATCGCCAGCGGGACTCAAACCATGACATGTCAACATGTAAACTGCAACTCGACATAGTCACGACAACCCTTGAGTAACAGGGTAGATATGATTTTCAAGGGAGGCCAGGCATATTCCTATATCACCACCTCGTGCGGTGGTATTGTCGATGAAGCAATGTCAATCGACTACATTACCTGTTTTTCGTTTATGAGTAGGGCTTCTAGAATGTCAGTATATCATATTTATAAATTCTATTTACCCTGTTTCGTTAAAGTACCCACAATCGTATGGGAAGGTTTTCAAGTTCTATCGAATTTCACATTGCCTTGCTTCCCAAAAGGTATTCTCCTCCAAGTTGGACACTAGACCGTTGCTTCGAGCTGGCCTAGGTTTCATCAGCTTGACGAAATAGGCTGAATACATCTCATGCATATGATCTACTGGCATTCGCGAAAGCCTACTTATAGACGAACAATAAGTAGTGTGCTCGATTGTTATAGCAAATACCGTTTTGCTTCATCGCCAATCCAACCACAGAATGTGATGAGGCAAAATGCCTAGCCAATAGTGTACGTTGCACTAGCACAACCCGAGTTCAAGTCCCGCTGGAGGTGCTGATGAGGCTGAAACTGTCGTCAATGAAAATGTGGATGAGAATACCTTTTTTGAGAGCAGGGCTATGTGAAATCCAATGGAAACGTAAGGTCTATTCGTGTTATTGTAGCAAAATGCTGCTTAGGAAATACACCTCATTTGTATGATCTACCGGTAGTCTCGAAAACTTCCTTATAAAAAAAATGAAAATTCTCCATTATGCCTAGACTACGAGATGAATACGGTTTTCAGGCTCAGTGGTAGGGACTCTGAATCAGTTAGCGGTCGTCTGCCTGTAATTGACCTGATCCAAGATCTGTATGCAGTTTGGTTTGCTTAATTTGGTGCAGGATTTGTTGAGGAATTTGCCACAATCAAACGAGTAAGCCTCACATTTACGGTGGATTTCATGCAGCCCCCCTTCCAAAAGGGTATTCCCCTCCAGGCTCAAGTGAACTACTGTTGCCGATGAAGCAAAGTTGTATTTTTGCTTGAGCAATCAAATGCATCACTTATTTTCCGTTTCAGACAGTTGTGGCAAAATTCACCTGCCAGTCCTTCGTCAGCTTTAACGAAATAGAATGTGTCAGATCTACGGAAAGTCCCAAAAACTGACTTGTAAAACGAAAAATAGGCTCGTTTCACTACTGAAATGGCATTAGTAGGCATTCGCCAGCAATCGACAAGCCAGATGGTTCGAGTCCTGACAATCAGGCGCAAACACCCACCGATCTGGCCATAGCCATTTAGGATGCTGAGGACAGGAAGAGGCAAGAAGGGATGACCTTTTAGCAGATCAAATAATTTCCCTGTTGACTACTCCAAAATGGGATTCTCGTTCAAACCGGAATACAGTTTTGATCCGGTCTGGATGTTATCATCCCGTCCAACTGGAATAGAGCCCAAAATGTAGATGCTTTGGAGGGAATGAATGTGTGCATGTGTGTGTGTGTGTGTGTGCGTGTGACAGAGAGAGATAGAGAGACACTCAAGATATCCTCGAGCTAGATCGCAGAGATGAGTTTTGAGGGGCGTCTCAGATTGAGAATATCGTGTCTTCTCTGTCCATGATGGCGTCTGGTGAGAAGAAAGAGGCCAAGCATTCAGACTGTGTCTTCCCAACCGTTTTGTCGTTAATCATAGGCCAGTTTTGCAGGTCACGGAAGGTGGGAGAGCTCGTGTTTTTGTGCCCGAACCAGCAACATGACCTCTCATAAAGTGGACTAGAGACGAGTAAGTCCGGTAAGCGAAATTAGGATTTTCGATGTAGAAATGAGACAAAGTCCCAACAACAGCGATTTTCGTCTGCACGACTACTTCGGCCAAAAGAGTAGCAAAAGGTGTGCGCTGGTTGTGTGTTGTGTGTGGCAAGTGGTGTGCTGGGCGTGTACCAACCCAAGCATCGGGGTGGCATACCCCGGAGGCGTCAGACTCGTCTCTACAGCATCACACCGATTAGCCGTTTTAAGGTCTGGCTTGTTGATTGAAAGTGACTTTCCGGCCGATCTGTTCGTCTGCCGGTACAGCCCAACAGGACGGGGATACCACGAGGAAGATGAACGTGATTATATGAAAATTGCCAGTGGCAACGAGAGCTTTTACGGGCAACATCCTTCTCATCAAGGACACCTATTCTGGACTTGGTCCGAGAATAAAAGAATTCGGCATCAAAATGAAGATGAGCTGTTTACCTGCGTCCCGGGTGCGCGTAAACAGCTGACACAAAAGGGTTTAATGCACCAGCTACAAGTCGTCAGTGGCATCTGTCCTAGCCTCGGTGGACCAACTTCTCGGGTAGCATCACACATCCACTCAAGTACAGCCATACTTGCCTCCACGTGGCCAGAATGCATTCTCTAAACTGATTTGCATTGAACAGGATGGACATTTTCAAGCAAATGCACATAAAACGCTGCTATTGCCGAACTAATGTTTCACGTGCTTGACCTATTCTGTATATTGTGTGACTAGATTACACACATGAAGAAACTGGCCCACTTAAACATACACACACACGCATACACAAATGGAGGAAAGCAGGTAAAATTGACTAAATCTTTGAAGTAGGATTATCACTGAATGTTAGAGTCGCAACGCTCTGAAAGCCAAGGAAATAAAATGTTAATTAATTAATGTAAATTTAAGAGACTTGGCCGAGACGTCGTCTAGGCGGACAAGCTGGCGAAAGTTGTCGTGAAGCATTTCAGTTGGTATAAAAGGTGGTGCGTCATAATACGGACACTTTTACCGGAATCCAAGGAGATTGTCTTGGACACCGCGTCAACAAGAATGTTCCAGTAAAACCAAATGTCCTTTGTCTTTTGATGAGATCGACCTTCGAATGGTTTCAGCAAATAGTTTTACTTGAACTGGAAGTGAGCTCAACAAATTCACATTGGAAAGCTGACAACTGAAGACTTTCCTTTTGTATGAAAGTGTGTCCGAGGAAGAAATTTGTGGGTCAATCTCAACATACATGCAAGTAGAGGTACCATAACCAACATGAAAGATAATTAGCTAAAGCATTATACAACCATCCAGATCTGTACATTTTCGCTTTTCAGTTGTGAGTGTATAGGAGAGTTGAGAAAGAGTTGGTTAGTCTTGTTGACTTTCAATGTAGAGGGAAAAGTTGATTGGGAGCAAGTTAAGTGTGATCTCACCAGAAAGCGAAGGAGGGTAGGCAAGACTGTCGGGTTGTTCGAAGGAGTGTTCGGTTCACGGTCGTGCGACTCCAACAACCTGGGCTAAGCTTTCGTCTGTATCCTCGTGACAGACAGCATCAGAGCAAGAAGACATACTTGACGAAATAGACTAAACTCATTTTAATGAATGTTAGGGGGACCTTCATTTGGTATGAAAGTGCATGAAGAAGAGATTAGTTGGTCGACGGACGGTGAAAACGTGCTGAGCTGTCGTCCATCATTTAGTGAAGATTTTTAGAGCTGGATGTCATTCTTGTAAAAGGCTTTAGGTAGCACTAGTCCAAGAAGACTATCCGGCTTCATTTTACCTCTTATGTAGACTTACCGTATTTCCCCATGTATAAGCCAGCCATTTTTTCCAAAATTTCCAAGTCCAAAAAGTATGGA